ACATGCCAGGGTCTAAACCCTGCCTGTCTGAGGAGCAACTAGCCCAAGAGAGCTTTGCTGGGAGGGGGAGTGCGTGCACCAGGAGCGCCCCGTTCTCAGGGCTGACAGCAGACAGGGATCAGGTAGGCGCTGGCTATGCCGTCAGACAGCAGCACGCACAGAGGCATGGCGAGCGCTCCTCCATGGGCGCCAGACACCGTCTTCGGTTCCGCGCACCACATTACCAGCCGCCACTGACCACCTGGAGAGAGCTCCGGGAACTGGGCCAAGGGCTAAACCTGTCCGCCTAGGGGTCATGGGACGAAACGGAGAAAGGAGCAAGTGTGTGTGTGTGTGTGTGTGTGTGTGTGTGTGTGTGTGTGTGTGTGTGTGTGTGTGTGTGTGTGTGTGTGTGTGTGTGTGTGTGTGTGTGGGTGTGTGTGTGTGTGTGTGTGTGTGTGTGTGTGTGTGTGTGTGTGTGTGTGTCGAGCTCTGCCCGCAGCGCGGATCCTGTTCAGAGCAGCTGGCTGGGCAGCAGGGCGCTGGGACCCCAGTGCCCTCTGGTGGCTAGACCGGGTCATTGCACACACTGTGTTCGGCAGCCCTGAAAGGCGGGCTGCTCTGGGGCAGGGCAAGGAACTGGAGAGAGGCTCTGCACTGACTGCCCACGGCTGGGGCTCAGACGCCCCCACGCCCATCACCCCCAGCCCTCCGGTGCACGCAGTGCCAGGAACCCCAGCCCCACTGCTCGGGGTCAGCCCCCCAACGCTCGCAGCACGGAAAGCTGGTTCAGGTTCCCGTCCTGCAGCTGCCCCCGCTCCCTTCTCCTCTAAACCAAACCCCGGGGGAGAGCTGACCCAGCCAGTGCCAGAGACACGTGGGGGTGCTCTGCCAGCTGGCTCCATGTACCCACCCCCCGAGTCACCCCAGACCAGGCCCCGCCCCGAAGGGCAGACAGAGCCCAGTGACGGTCTGGGGGTGCCGCGGTGGGGAGGTTAGCTGGATGCGAAGGGAAGGGGACAGGTATGGATGGAGTGAAGCTGAGGCGGGTTGGAGGCAGAGAAGCCCAGAAAGCTCTCCGAATGGCCAGAGGGCCACAGGTCCCTGCTTTGGCGGCTTCTCTTCCCTCCGGCATCCTCTGGCTCCTAGAGTGGGAGGGGGGTGGCTCCCCTGCAGTTCTGGGGCCAGGGGTGGCCCTGACCGGGCCCCCTTTCTATCCAGCCAACTCCCACAAAGGGCACAGGTGGGGATCCTCTCCACCAGCAGCCCACGCAGGGTTGCCCCCTTCCTCCTTGCCCCACCAGGGACTCCTGAAAGTTTTGACAAACCACTACAAAGTGCAGGCAAGCCCAGGTGTTCACAGGTCCCCCGGCCAGACGGGACCATTGGGAGCAGCTCCTCTGGCACCGCGGTACAGCACTTCCCCAACACAATCGCTTACAGAACTACAGCCGGTAGTTCAGGAAAACATCCCGATTGAGTGACAATCGTCACTGCTGGAGAATCCCGCACGGAAATTGTTCCAGTGCTTAGTTATCCGCACTGTCAAAAACGTAACCGTACTGCCAGTCTGGATCTGTCTGGCTTCAGTTGCCAGCCCCTGGCTCGTGTTAGCCCTTCCCCTGCCAGCCTGAGGGGCCCGTTCCCACGTAGGTACTTACAGCCTGGGACCCAGGCACCCCTGAACCTGCTCTGGTGACACAGACTCAAGGAGTTCAATGTCTCCAGGAGGCAGGTTTTCTAACCCGTTCATCAGTCTCGTGGCTCTTCTCGGACCCCTCGCCAATGTAGCCACATCCTCCGGGATCTGTGGGCACCAGAACTGCACGTGGGATTCAAGCAGAGGTCGCACCAGAGCCAAACAGAGGTGACTCCTCACCTCCCCTCCCCATTGTGGCTCTTGCCACCCCTCTCGGTGACGGGTGTCACGTCTCAGCGGGCCCCACGCAGCTAGCCACTCCAGGGCACATGTGCACATGGCTGGGGTTCAGTCACACACACGGGCCCTGAGGACTCGTCGGACAGGTACCAGCCTATGGAAGCCCCCCCAGACCCAAAGCCAGACCCTGCTGGGAGCTCAGGACTCGCTGGCGACTAGGGGAGGGCCAGCAGGTTTCCGCGGTAGTGCTCACCTCTAGGAAGCGTGAAATGTCCCGCTTGTCGCTCACCCCCATGGCCACCACGTTCTCGAAGAGCCAGAAGAAGGGCCGGTCGTCGCCCTCCTTGGGCCGGGCTTCGTGGAGAAGGCGGTAGAACTCGAAGAAGAGCCGTCCAGTGCCCTCTGGGCAGCAGGAAGAGAGAAGAGACACGGGTGAGCTGCTGACAGCCCGCCTCAGCCTAGACTGGACTGCAGGAGAGCCGGCGTGGCCGGCTCGGACACCTACCGTAAAGACCCTTCCTGGCAGGGTTGACAATGGAGAGGTCATTACACGGGCTCCCTCCAATCACCAGGTCAAAAGGGCCCCATTCCTGTATCTGCAACACAGAGACACGCCAGCGAGAGGTTATGGGGGGCAAAGGAGGCGAGTCTCCCTTGGTATGCGGCAGTGGGGAAACCGAGGCTGGAATATGGACTCCAGTTCTGGGGGCCACATTTTACACAGATGTTGAAAAACTGCAGAGGGGGCAGAAAAGAACCACAAAAATGATTCCAGGGCTGGAGAAAACGCCCCCTAGTGCGCGATTTAGAGCCCGAGGGAGCCTGAGAGGTAACCTGGCCCCAGCGTCTAAGGATTGTCCCAGGGAGATGATATCAGGTACCAGAGGGCTCCTTCCTCTAGCGGAGACAGGCAGAACAAGAACCAATGCCTGGAAGCTGACGCCAGACACAGTCAATGAGAAACCGCTCACCTTTTGTTAACCGTGCAGGTGACTAACCACTGCGGGAAACTCCCAAGGGAAGGGGTGGATTCTCCACCCCCTGGTGAATTCAGACACAGCCTGGCTGCCTTTCTGGGAGATGCGTTAGCTCAGTACAGGGGTAACTGGGTGAAACCGAACGGCTGGTGACACACAGGAGGCCAGACTACATCATCGAATGGTCCTGTGATGGGGTGTGCATACCCCCCACTAGGCGAGAAAGGGTTAAATCACACACTAGGGGTGGAGGAAGTCCCGCCCCTTAGACCCTGTTAGGCATGCTCCAATTGCTGTGCTAGTATAAAGGAGAGCGCCCAGCTTGCCCGCAGGCGCCAAGGAGGACGCTTGGTGGAGGCTCCAGCCCAGGAGCCGTTCCAGCCCTTGCCTGTGGGAGCTGGAGATCCCACGCCCCAGCCGACTGGTGGGAGCCGGAGTCCCCTGCGCCGAGGAGCCCAGAGACCCCAACGCATACGGATTGCAGCTTCAGGAAGCTCGGCAGGAAGTGGCCCAGGGAGGTGGAGTGAGTGGTATCTCCCACCCGTGTAAGGTCAGAGTGTTGAGGCTGGATTTCCCGCTGACCCAGTGGCGGACCACTTCACCACTGTTAGGGCCCTGGGCTGGGACCTGGTGGAGTTGGGTGGACCCGGGTCCCCCTACCCCAGCCGCCACCCCCACTTTGGTGGCAGCCCCCGGATTTGGTGATAGGGCCGTGATGCCTGGAACCTGAGGGCCGCTCTAATGACTGGCCACTAGGCCACGCAGCCCTGCGCTCAAGGACAGACACTGACTCTGGCCATTGAGCCGCACTGTCTTGAGTCCCAGGACAGTCTGACAGACTGTAACTGCGGTGTCACCACGACCACAATCCACCCCAAAGGGTGTGGGGTGTGCATACACCGCCACATGTCCCTTCTGACCTTAAACTCTGTGAACCTAGAAAGGGTTCAGCCCGCTGCCCCCCCGTGAGACGCAGCCGCTGAGTCGGGACGCCTGCCGGGGTAGGGAGGTGAGCGGGGCAGGCGGATGGCAGCCTCACGTACATGTTTCTGGGTGACATTCCGGACGTCGCCGACGTACATGATCTTGCCCTGGTGTCTCACCATCCCCACAGTAATAGAGTCTTCGCAAACCTCAGAAGCGATGTAGCGGTCCACCTGAATGCCCAGGTCCTTCAGCACCAGCAGACCTGCCAGGATACAGAGCAGGGTCAGGTCCGCAACGCAGGACGGCCCTGGGGACAGCACCCCAGGGAGCACTCGCCATCGGGAACATCATCCCAAACCAGACACAGCAGGAGACCCCTCAGCGCTAAGCAGCAACTCAGGACCACTGGCCCCTCCGACACAAAACAGAGGAACGCAAGCAGCTGCTTATTGAAGTGCAGTCAGGACACTCGTAGCATCCCTATGGGGAACTACAGAGGCCACGGATTCAGGGGAACGCCCCCCCCCCCCCCCCCCAGTCCGCTCCCCCCCCCCAAGGGTGTGGAGAGTCCAAATCTAATTACACAGCCCCCTGCTGGTGACCTGGGCTCACCCCTCTTTGAAATACGTCCGGCAGGACAATGGGCCACCTTGGAGCTGATTTCAGAGGGCCTGGCCCAGTGGCCGTGGGTCCTCAGCCCCTCCAAATAACCAGGCCAAAAGTGTCTTGAGTTGGGAGCACCCAAAATCAGGGACTTAGTTTGAAACTGTTGGCCACAGTCAATGCAAGATGTTCTACGACAGGGGTCGGCAACCTCTGGCACGTGGCTCGCCAGGGTAAGCCCCCTGGCGGGCCGGGCCAGTTTGTTTACCTGCCGCGTCGGCAGGTTCAGCCGATCGTGGTTCCCACTGGCCGCGGCCAGCACATCCCTCGCCCACGCGGATTCCCGCAGCCCCCATTGGCCTGGGATGGTGAACCGCAGCCAGTGGGAGCCGCGATCGGCTGAACCTGCTGATGTGGCAGGTAAACAAACTGGCCCGGCCCGCCAGCGTGCTTACCCTGGCGAGCCGCGTGCCAGAGGTTGCCGACCTCTGTTCTACGATCTCGGGGGCTGCGGGCCCAGCAGAGCTGCGAGAGACAGGTGGAGCATTATCCCGCACTCGGCCAAACACGCGTCCTGCACACTAGGTTTAGAACCCAGGATTGCATTCTGCTACTGAGAACCTACCAGCTGGGTCATTAAACCAGAGCGTATCTGCTCCCCCGTGCCCTCTGCATGCGGTGAAGTGAGCTGGGCCGTGCTGGTGGGTCACGGCCGCTGAGGGGCTGGAGTGGGGCGCTGTAAGCATGGAGACGGACAGCAGAGCCCTAATGCCGCTCAGCTACCTCTTGTTAGCCCACCTGTGGCAATTCCATCGAAGAGAGAGAGCACTCGGATGGGCTTCCTCTTCTCAGCTGGGACCGGTGGATAAACCTTTGGTGGGTCCTTAAAACACACACACACAGCGCAGCATGAGAGACGAGGGCACAAGAAATACTCCCCTAGACAGTCTCCTTGGACATGAACTGGGCTCCCAACTCCCGGATGGGTCCCATCCCAGCTCTTACAGGGGGAGCTAACCGCGGCTGGAGCTCCATGCGACGCGGGGACCTCCCCTAGGAGTGGAGACGCCAGGGGCTGGGCTTGCTGAGCGGGGAACTGACCACGGTCTAGACACACACATCGGGGGGAAGCCCAGGGAGGGGGCAGTGCTCGGTAGGCTAAAGGACAATGCCAGCACAAGTGGGGTCGCTCTGTCTGGAGAGGAGGTTTCTAACCAGGAGAGGAGGGAGGGCGAAGACGCTTGCTGAGGGACTCCGGAGAGCTCAGGAAGCGACCGACGTGACGGTGCTGCCTGCGATAGCAGGGCTGGACTCGAGGACCCAGGAGGTCCCCATCAGTCCTGCATTCCTGGGATGATCTGGGACCCAAGCATACAAATGCCGGCAGCCCAGCGACAGCACAGGCAGCCCTGCTGGACGTGTTCAGCCCCGGCCCCTCGGGTGCAGGGCTGGGGGGAGGCTCTGCTCTGCCGAGCCCCCGGGGGAACCGGGCAGCGCTGCCACATACTCACAAATTCTTGGTCATGGTTATTGGCGAAGAACATCTGGAGGCGGGAGGGCCAGTCATCTCTTCGCCTCAGCAGCCCGTAGATGCCCTTGTGGCCACACATGTAGCAGTTCCAGGGGTCCTCTTTGATAGCTGCCTGGGCTGCACCTGGTCCCACCAGCAGGTCCACGCACTCCACACAGAAGCACCTGAGACCCAGGGGGAAGGGGAGACACTTCAGCCCATTTACTCCCTTGCCTCTGTTCTAGGGAGGTGGGGGCGAGGGTCACAGGTCACCAGCGGGGGCCGAGTGCGACCCCTCCCTTGCGGTCCCCTAACTGCAGGGGCAGGACCGTGCTGAGCTGGGAAGGCAACCCACAGGTCCCAGTCTGAGCCCACTGGGGCTCAGGGCCCAGGCCAGCTGGCACACAGCCGGAGGGCTGGGACGGGGTCCAGCATCACCATCCCACGTGTCCCCAAGGCCTCTCCGGTCCCCTCATCACTGACTGGCCTGGCTGCGGAGAGGGAGGGAGAACCGGCTGCAGGGCAGTGGCTGGCTCATGTTCCTGCCCAAGCCCAGATGGAAGCGCAGAGCCGGTGCAGCTGGCCGAGCGCCCCGGGCTCCCAGCCCGGCTGAGTGTGCCACACCCACCTGCAGCAGTTGTTGTTTCCGCACATGAGCACCTCGCGGCCGCCGCAGCAGATCGTACAGTACGATTGGTATCCGTCGTCATCGTACTGGTACGCGCACTCCAGGAAGCAGTTCTGGGGGGCAGCGAGAAGGGTGTGAACGCTGCGTCCCCTCCGCACCCCTCCACCCAGGGGGACGGCCCACAGCCCAGGCGCAGTGCACGGCACCTGGCCTCGGGGACGCTGCCGCAGAGTACTCCACCCTCGGGCTGCCCTGCCGGGCTAGGGAGCAGAACCCCGGCAGCTGCCCGGGCTGGCCTGCCGCAGGGAGCCTGCCTCGAGGGGAAATGCTTCGAGCAGAGGGATACAAGGACCAGGAAATGCTTCAGGGCAGCAAAGGGATGGAAGCCCAGGAGAAGAGGAGGCTACTCACCTGTAACTGGAGGTTCTTCGAGATGGGTGGTCCCTACCTGCATTTCACTGAGGGGTTAGGCATGCGTCATGCGCCCGGAGCCGGAGCATTTGAAAGCAGGAGTGTCTGTTGGGCTGCGCACGCGCCCTTGCGTCACCTCATGGTGATAACGGGCGGGGCGGAGCGACCACGCCCTCAGTTCCTCCAACAGGTGCACAGCAGAGGGGCTGGAGGGCGGGAGGTGGAATCCCGAGGGGAGGGAGGAGCGGAGGACAGCCGTGCAGAGTCCCGCACCAAGGTGCAGCGAACTCCGCGCATGTCTGGAGTGGGGTGTGGGGGGTGTGGAGTGCGGGCTCTGGGAAGGAGTTTGGGTGCGGGAGGGGACTCCGGGCTGGGGAAGGGGGTTGGGGTGCAGGAGGGGGCTCAGGGCTGGGGCAGGCGGTGGGGGGGGGGGGGGGGGGGGGGGGGGGGGGGAGGGGGGCGGGGGAAGGGGGTTGGCCTGTGGGAGAGGGTTTGGGGTGCGGGGGCCTGGCAGCACTTACCACAGCTCCCAGGAAGCAGACACGAGGTCCCCGCAACCCCTAGATGCATGGGCAGCCAGGGAGGCTCTGCGCGCTGCCCTCGTGCCCACACCCGCCGCCCCCACAGCTCCCATTGGTCATGGTTCCTGGCTTATGGGAGCTGCGGAGCCGGCACTCCGGCGGGGGAGCTGGCGTCCGCTTCCGGGCAGGTAGGGAGCCTGCCTTAGCCCCGGGCCCCCGATGTGCTGGGAGGGAGGTTGAGGAGTTGATCAGCGGGGCCTGCGGACTCCCTGGATCCCAGTTTGAGAAACGCTGGTCTAGGGGACCTCCCGATAGGTCTCGTCCTCGGCAGGTAGAAGGTCAGAGCCCTGCGGACGTCGAGGGAGTGAAGGTGCTGCTCCTCTGCCAAGGCGTGAGGCTTTGGGAAGAAAGCAGGTGAGCGTACGGGGTGGTTGAGATGAAACTGAGCTATGACCTTGGGTAGAAACTTGGGGTGCAGGCGTAGGAAGACTTTGTCCTTATGGAACGTGGTGAAAGAGGGGGTCCTCCATCATGGCCCCCAGTTCGCCTACCCTTCTCGCCGAAGTGACAGCCACTAGGAAGGTGACTTTCATGGAAAGGAGGGACATAGAGCATGAAGCCAGAGGCTTGAAGGGCGGTTTCATTAACGCCGCTAGAACGAGGTTGAGGTCCCACCTGGGGGGTGATAGGCTGTATGGGTGGGAAAGTCCTGAAAAGACCTTTCCAAAACCTGGTAGTCAAGGGATGTGTACATACGGAGTGTGCTTCCATGGGGCGGTGGAAGGCGCTGATCATCACTACATGAACCTCGAGAGAACTGAGGGTGAACCCTGACGTCTTCAAGGACAGGAAGAGAAATGCCCACTTCCTCAGGGGAAAGCCCTTTTGCTGGGACCAAAAGGCCAAGCGATTCACCTTGGCCCAACAGGAACGCCTGGTGGACTCCTTCCTGCTGCTCGAAAGGCTATCGTGCCCCACCGACGAACACTCCCGTTCTAGAGAAGATGCCCATCCAAATACCAGCTCTGAGGTGACGTGTCTGTGGACCGGGATGTCTGATCCTGCTGTTGTGTTGTGGGTAGGGGAAGTGAGGGACGGGCCGACAGAAGGAGAAGGAAACCAAAACTGGGGTGGCCAGAACGGGGCCCTCTCCCTCCTGATCTTGTGGAGGACTGGTGGGAGGAGTGGAAGAGGGGGAGGAGTAGTTGATCTGGTCTGACCTTGAGCAGTACGTGCTGCATGTTGTTGTTGCTGTGGAAGGCAAAGAGGTCTCTGGTGGGAGTCCCCCACTGGCTGAAGATGTTGTTTACTACAGAGTTGTGCAGCTCCCACTCATGATCGGAGATGAATCTTCGGCTGAGAGTCTGCAATCACGTTCTGAATCCCCAGAAGATAGGCTGCCAACAACAGGTTCTTGTGGGCAATGCACCAATCCCTCAGACTGACCGCTTCCGCACACAGACCTCCTGCCCCCTGGTCTGTGATGTAATAGATGGTGGGGGTGGTGTCCGACACGATGAGAACATGATGCGAGCGAATGGATGGGAGAAATGCTTGCCACGCTCGCCATACCGCCCGGAGTTCCAGACGGCTGAGGTGCATCCTGAATTCCTGAGGGGTCCATGTCCCTTGCGTCGTGTGATGGGCCATGTGCGCTCCCCACCCTGTGAGGGATGTGTCCTGTCCAGGGAGGATGGGGATCCCTGTACAGACCTGCTGCGGGGCCATTCACCACTGGAGGGAAGAGAACACCTCGGGGGCGACTGACAGCATCAAGCCTGTGGCACGTAGTGTGTGAGAGTGTCGTGGGGTAGGTACAACCCGTCACGGGGTGTCAGGTCACATATAGTCAGAAGAAAGGGAAAGGCAGTGCCGCAGCCAGATAGGTCCTATGCTGGTGACCCTGACCATAAAATGTTGTAGTACGGCCTAGTGGCTGGAGTCGCCCCTCCTCATGGGGCTGCATGGCTCAGTGGCCAGTGTCAATAGAGCGACCCTTCCTTACAGGGCTGTGTGGCCTACTGGCTGCAGTCAATAAAGCTGCCCACCTCTGAGGAGCTGTGTGGCCTTTTAGCCCATTGGGGAAGTGGAGCGCCACCTAGGGGTGTGCGGCGCCTGGGGAAGGGCGACCTGGGCCCTCCCTGCTCCTCTGAGTCCCAGCCCAGCAGGGGCGGCTCTATGTTTTTTGCCGCCCCAAGCACGGCAGGCAGGCAGCTTTCGGCGGCACGCCTGCGGGTCACGCGGATTCGGCGGCGTGCCTGCGGGAGGTCCGCCAGTGCCGCGCCTTCGGTGTCCCCGCCGCCGAATTGCCGGTGGACCTCCTGCAGGCATGCTGCCAAAGGCAGCCTGACTACCGCCCTCACAGCGACCGGCAGGCTGCCCCCTGTGTGCCGAAGGTGCTCACCACGGGGTCAGCGGGGATCCACCCGAAACACACTGACCTGTTGTCCGGTTCTCCAACCGGAGCACTGACTAAATCCCCTGGGCTGCTTCATACCCTGTCTTCTTCAGCGGTGGTCCATGGGTCCCCTGGGTCTCTGGGGTCCTCGGCCGGTGCAGACGGGTCCTGACGGCTCCCGTCTCTGGATTCCACAAGCAGCCTGGAATCCGTCTGGGGCTCGGCGCGCCTTGGCTCTGTGGTTGGGGCCGGTAGCAGCTCCCAGGAGAGAGCCTGCAATCTGCACCCTTCCTGTTCAGCAGCCTGCCTCGACTGTAGCTTGCCTACAGGCTGAGCATGCCCAGCAGGGGTGGAGGGGCACTGCGCAGTTAACCCTTTCTGGGCCAGGATGCGGTAGGTACACCCCATCACAGTGAGTAAACCCTCTGGAGCGACATCTGCAGACAGTGAAGGTGGAGGTGAGCGAAGGCCGTGATATATGTACAGGATGCCATGTGGCCAAGGAGGGATAAGCAAGTCCTGACCGGGACAGATGGACTGTTGACTATCCAGTCAATGAGTTCCTGCAGAGGCTGGAACCTGTCCCTTGCTAGGTAAGCTCTGGCTGTGACCGAGTTGATGGAGGCCCCTATGAAGTCTTGGGGCTGTGTGGGAATCAAAATTGATTTTTCGATGTTGACATTGACTCCCAGGGAGGAAAGGAGTCTGAGCAACATGGAGGTCGAGATTCGAGCCTCGTCTCTGGATCGCGCTGCTAGTCGAGATGGGGAATATCAGGACCCCAGAGGTGGGCCGCTACGATAGAGAAAACTTTGGTGAAGACCTGGGGAGCAGTGGTGAGTCCAAATGGCAGAACCCTGTACTGAAAATGCTGAGGGCCTACCATGAACCTCAGGAATTTTCTGTGGGTTGGATGAATGTCTATGTGACAACAGGTGTCCTGCATATCGAGAGCCATAAAGCACATGCCTTTTTCTAGCGACAGCATGATGGCCGCTAAAGCGACCATACGAAACGGGCTGGCGGGTGAAGCGGTTGAGGCAACGGAGATCCAGGATTGGTCTCCAGCTGCCATTCTTCTTGGGTACCAGGAAGTAAGTGCAATAGAACCCCGTGCCCCGATAGCTCGGGGGAACGTGCTCTCTCACTCCCCTTTGCAGTAAGGCGTCACTTCTAAGGCAAGGATGCTGTCGTGAGAGTGGTTCCTGAGGAGGGATTGGGGTGGGGGATGTGGATGAGGTAGCGTGCTGAATTCGATTGTATAGCCATGGCCGTTGGCATCCAGGACCCACCTGTCTGTTGGTATTGCACTCCAAGCTGGTAAGAAGAGTGCTAGATTCACCCGAAGGGGATGGGTTGGTTGCACGGTGGTTGACACTCAGAAATATTGTTTCTGAGAGGTTTGAATGTGAGATGCTGAAGTCTGGGAAGGGGGCCGGGAGGGCGGGATCATTGGGTCTTCTGGCACTTCCGAGGAGGTTTGTATGGTCTCTGGTGGAAGAACTGAGAAGTTCTGAGTAGGTGGTGGGTGGTAGAAGTTACCAGATACCCAGTGATCGAAGTGTGACTCTGGAATCCTCGAGGGAGTGGAGGGAATTGTCAGTCTCAGATTCAACCAGTGCGACTCATCGAACGGGAGCTCCTCGATGGTAGTTTGCACCTCCCTGGGGAAACCGGATGTGCGGAGCCACGATTCCCTCCGCATGACAATGCCCGTGGCCATGGAGTGTGAAGAGGATCCACAGGGTCTTGAGCTGACTGTAGCGCCGTTTGTCCTCCTCCAGGATAGACTGGAATCATACTTGACCTTGCTGAGGCGCCTTTCAGTAAAGTCCTCCAACTTTCCGTAGTTGAGGAAGTCAGATTTGGCCAGCAAGGCCTGGGTAGTTTGAAATTAGAGGCTAGCTCAAGAGAAGACCTGGAGCCCCAGAACGTCTAAGCATTTGCCCTCCTTATCCGACGGGGTGGAGCGTGGGTGTTGCTGTCTGGACTGTTCCGTTGCTGCTTGCACCATGAGGGAACTGGGTGGGGGTGTGAGAAAAGGAACTCCGACCCCTTGGCCGGTACGTAGCATCTCTTCCCTGCCCCCTGTGAGGTAGGTGTGCAAGTGGTCAGGGTAGGCCAAACAGTTTGAGCTGGTTGGAGAATGGCACCATTGATCGGCAGAGCAACCCTGCTCGGCACCAAGGAATGAAGGGTGTCCAGGACCTGGTGCTGCTTGTCTCGTACTCCCTCCAGTGGAACATGAAGGCTGTCTGCCACTCTTCACGGGAGTTCTGGGAACTGCCAAAAGTCATCTGGAGGTGAGGTGGAGTGAGGTTACTGCAGCAGCTGGAGAGGACGATGGGAAATGTTCTTGCTCTGGCAGTACTGGCGGAACCGGACTGAGCAGTTCGATCCCCACAACCGCTTCAGAGTACCTGCCCAAGGGCTCCCTGAGCAGGGATGGGGTGAAGCCCTTGTGCTCTGTCGGAATCCTCCCATGATGAGAACTCAGATCTCGGTTCCAATGGTGGTACCGTTGGAGCCGGTGGAAGTGTGAAAACCATAGAGTCGCAGCATGACTTGACTGCAGTAAGTCCTGGATAGGAGATCGGACCTCCCTAGGTGCGGAGGGTAGAGGAAGGCATGGAGATCTCAGTTCTCCTAAGGCAAACAGTTCATGCGGTTCCGGTGCTTCCTCCAATCCCCCCGGTGTTAACGGTACTTGTTCTGCAGCCAGAACTGGCACTGCAGTGGAGGACTGTCCCGGAGTCGATGGAGCCCTTGTCTTAAGGGAGGCCGACATTGAGAGCGTACATGACTGGGTGCTCGGTGCCGGCGGATCTGCTGGTCTGCATGATTTTTTGGCATGCTTGTGCACCTTGGAACGCCCCGCTTCTCCGTGGCTGGTACTTGTGGAAGGCGCATCATCCTTCTTAGGCTTGGAGGAAGAATTACTGTCATGCTTATCATAGCAGATTAGGGTTGGAAGAGACCTCAGGAGGTCACTTAGTGCAACCCCCTGCTCAAAGCAGGACCAGGTTCCCTGCCTCCCAACTAGGCCCTGGCACATGGTCCGTAGCAGTGGTGCCGGTGGAGCAGGACTGTGTCTCCATAGCTGGCGGCGCACTCCTGGGTTTCTCAGGCCAATGTACGGGGCAGTTCCCCGGCCTGGTTCCAATTAAGGACTCATGGCGACCTTCTTGAGGCGGAGAGCCTGGCCTTCTCGGGTACGGCGTGGGAAGGACTGGCAGATACGGCACCTGGATGCAATGTGGGCCTTTCCCAAGCAGCAGCGGCACCACTGCTGCTTGTCGCTGACCGAGACGGAACACGGGCAGGAGGTGCAGATCTTGAATCCTGGCATCTTTGTTACAATCCACTTTCTGCCTGTGGGTGTTGGGGAGGGGGAACCGGTAAACAGATTCCACAAAGGCCTCAGTCCTACTAAAATTATTCCTAAAAACGACACTATGTTAAAAACAGCAAAAACTGGAAGCAAACGCTCTACAATTCTAAACGGTTATTTTCCAATAGGTCAGAGACGAGAGGACACTAGCAGCTCCGGCCTGGACCATGCAGCGGTGAGAAGGAACTGGAGACGCGGTTGGTCCGCCCCACCCTTTATCACCTCAGATGAACCATGAGGTGAAGCCAGGGCGCATGCGCTGACCCACGGACACTTCTACTTGCACACGGCACACGCGCGACCCCTCAGCGGAATGCAGTAGGGACCATCACTCGAAGAAGAAGGTGCCCACATGGGGGGAGAGAGGCCTCATGTTAGCTTGGGAGGCCCAGGTGGCACTGGCCTCGCTGCAGCTTAGGCCTGAAGCTCGGGTCTCGCCCCTCTGCAGTGCAGAACTGGACGATCAAAGTACCCATGCGGCTTTGCTCGTGTCTGGCCTGGAACGTCCAGGGAGGCTGGGGGCCAGGCCAGCCTACAGAGACAAGAAGGCTCCCCCCACTCCATACCTTGCAGTTTTGGCACATTCCTCCGATAAATAGAGGGTGTTCCAGGGTAACGTTGAGGCTTCCACAAGAAATGCAGATATCTGGGGATGGGGAGAGTAGAAAAGGCAAGTGTATTACATACAATGGGGGCTTCTCAGCCTCACCTCCACCCCCTCTCCCTCACTCTGTGCCCCAACTACCTGGTCCCGAGCACCCCAAGCTCCCAGGAACCATCCCCATGCTGCACTGCCAGCATGGCTTCCCAACTGAGTCAGTGGGAGCCCCGGCAGACTCCACATCCACTAGCCACAAGGGGAGTCCGGAAGGCCACACACGTTAAGGCTAGGAAGGGTCATTCGATGTCCTGCATCATACCGGGCAGAGACTCCAGCCAGCGATTCCTGCCTCCAGCCCACAAGCTCCGGCAGAGTTAGAGCGCATCCGTCCCACAGACCCCCAGGCCTAAGCTAAAGCGTTCAAGCGACGGCGAATTCCCCACAGCCGCTGGTGGCTTGCTCCAGTGGTTCATTACCCTCCTCTCCCTGTTAAAACTCTGCTCCGTAGTCCTAGCCTGGATTTGTCTAACTTCAGTTTCCAGCCACTGGGTCTTGTTCTGCCTTTGCGAGATGAACGAGCCGTCGGCCCCAAGCAGAGCCAGGAGCAAGTCTCATACCCTTCTTTCGGGTCAACTAAACAAGAATCGCAGAGTGCAAGGCCAGAAAGGACCGTTCGATCACCCCGCCTGATGTGTGCGTACCCAAGGCCGCTGTACGCCAGCCAGTTACCCCTGTAATGTGTGTTTGGCTAATGCATCAGCCAGCAAGGCAGCCAGTCTGCATTTAGAGATGCCAAGTGGTGGAGAATCCGCCACTGCCCTTGGGGGTGTCGTGTCCACCCCGGGTTAATCCCACGCATTGTTACAGATTTCTTGTTTGAATGGTCTGGCTCCAGCTCCCAGCCTCTGGCTCTCAGCTGCCTGTCTCCGCTAGAGGAAAGCCCTCTAGGACACGGTGAGTTCTCCCTGGGACAGCACTTACACAGTGTAACCAAGTCACCTCTCCATCTTCTCCCTGATCAGCTAAACAGACAGCGCTCCAAGTCTCTGGCTGGAGGGCGTTTACTCCAGCCCTGGCCGCCTGCTTTGGGCGGCTCTTTTCTGCACCCTTTTAAAAATGTGACCCCCCCAGAACGGGACACTGAATTCCAGCAGCGTCTCCCCAAGGTCGTGTAGAGAGGGAAGATCTCTGGGCTCCTCCCCTGGTTACACAGCCAAGGCTTGCTAACGCATCGCACCGGGCGCTCATATTCAGTTGCTTGTGCGCTGTGACTCCATATCATTTCCAGGCACTGACGGCCCCCCACTCTGTGCACATGGCCTGCGCCCCTGGCTCCTCCCCGGGGAACCTGGCATTGCCTGTATTGCACACGCTGTGTTACCCAGCAATCCCGCTTGCTAGTTACCCCCTGCCAATGGCTGCGTCATCCCCTAACTTCACCAGCAAGGACCTGAGACTTTCGTTCAGACCAGTGCTGACGACACTGAGTAGCACGGAGCCAACCGCCTTCTAGTCCAGTCTCCCGTCTCTAACCACATCTCTGTGCCGCCTGCCTCAGCATTGCTCCCCTGACGATCCCAGCGGGGTGGGAATGCAACACACGCGACCACTCCTGGTAGTGCCCCATGCTGTGTCCCCAGGACAGCCCTTCCGTCCGCCAGGATGGCCACAGCCTGCGCCGCTGCATGCCAGTCAGATGCAAAGCAGGAGGTGTCTCTGCCAACTGGCTCCCTTCCTGCCTCTCCGCCCCCCCAGTCCCTCTCTACGCGCCGGACAGCGTGTGGGCAAGGGGGAGGCTGAGGCTGACCGACGTCCCCGCTCTAGGGATGTCACACACTCACCTTCGATGTTCCTGCATTTCTGGCGAACCTCATAAACAAGCCGCTCTGGGGAAGCGAAAGAAGAAGTCAGGCAGGTCACAGGGGGGCCTGGAGGGCGGCTGGGTTACACACAACGGCCCAGGATGCTCTGCGCCAGCCCGGGGGCAGCTCGTACGGAAAGAGCGGGAGTTTCTACAGGGCCCGAGAGAAGGGTCGTTCCCTAGCCAGGACTCGGCCACTCAACCGCCATGGGGCAGGGGGGGAATTCCAGCCCCTTCTCGTCCTGCCCCTGGGGGCGCGGGGTCCTGGCTGCAGAGAAAATGACAGTTTCCCCAGGGATGGGGCAGTGCGAGGGGGACAGGGACCCTGCTGCCCAGGGAGGAGCCAGGAGGAGTAGAAGTGGGATCCGGGCCCTCGTAGGGATCTGCTCCGGGGCCCATGGGAGATGGGGGGTCTCGGAGCAGTTCCCAGCGGTAGAGGAGCCAGGCCCCTTGCTGGCAGTCTCCGCAGAGACACGAGGGGCGGAATGGGTGTAAAGATGGCACTCGGCCAACGATCAGGGCTGAGACGCTGGCCAGGCCCAGGCTGCACCTGCTCTCTGGGTAGGAGGTTTAGTGCCCAGGGCCGTGGGGCACCAGTCGCCAGCGCTACACACAGAGCCAGTGCTGCCCTCCAGCGGCAGGGCAGGGTGTGAGCACGGAGACACAGTGGCTGGTTCTCTCTGTCTCCTCCCCCCTGGGTGGCTGAGGGGAGAGAGGAGCTATTTTGGGGGTCCATTACTCTGCAGTGGGGTGGGAGCCCCCACTTCTCTCCCTTGCCCGGCCAGTGAGAATGAGGATGATGGCAAAGGAGCTCCCAGCCCTGGGAAGGTCTCGGGTGGGGTTTAACCCAAGTCCAGAGGCAGCCCCTGTCCAGGAAAATCTGGAGCTGCCCTGGGCTCGGGGTTCAAGACCAGATTTCAACTCCCCGAAGGGGCAGGGGTGGGGCCCACAGCGGCCTGGCTCGGGGGGCTCTCCGCAGAGCAAGAGGGGAATTTGGGAGGTAGGCTTGGGCAGCTCTAGTTCTCAGACTGGCCTGCGGGGGATACTAGTGCACCCCAAGGCCAGCAGACAGAGCCCTACAGCCTCCCTGGGCCAGTGGGGTGTCTCCGCAAAGGGGCGGGCTTTGCTCTCACGATGCCAGCGGCACCATGGGAAATGCTGTTCTGTAGCTGCAGTGGCGGCTAGCGGGAAGCTGGGCCCTCGGCTGGCCAGCGGAGCTCGGTGCCAGTGGGGGTGAGTGGCCCTGTCTGGGGCCAGCCAGCCACCCCTCCCCAGAGGCCCTCCCTCAGCGGGCGGGTGGCTACCTCGGGTGCGCTCATCTATGATCTCCTTGACCTTGGGCTTCTCCGTTGTGCTTTTCCTTGGTTTTTTGGCTGGCGGAGGCGGGGGGTAAGCGGCTGCTTCTGGCTCCACCCACATCTCCGTGTAAACTTCTTTGTAGGGATTCCGCTCCTCTGCGCCAAGGGAGAGGGATGTGGTTAGAGTGGGCGCAGGAGAGCGGCACGGGCCAGCTCCTCACAGTGGGCACAGGGGAGCTGGGCAAGGCAGTCGGCTGCCAGGCATTTCCCAGCGACACCCGTGGCAGCGTATGCAGCTGGCCCCGAGCCTTTCACCGCTCCCTGACCCCTCCTCCCCGCCGCCTGCCTCTCTCTGCGGTCACCTGCCAAGGCCGGGCGCTCCTTGGGGCAGGAGCTGGCTGATTCCACTGCACAGCGGGGCCCTAATCCCCACCTGGGGCTTCTCGGCTACCACGCCAGCAGCCACCCCACAAGCTGTGGGTGGGAGGGGAGGCTGGCAGATCACAGGTAGGTGCCGACAGTGGGGAACTGGGACTGGAAAATCGCTCCCAGCGGCCAGGACCGCTCCTGGCGGGGCAGGGCAGCGCTGACGAGTCGAGCTCAAGGAGACAGGCAGGCTGGCAGGGCCGGCCAGCCCCTCTGTGCTGCCCTGAACCTGGCCTTTGAGGCTGCAGAGAGGGACCGCAGTGGCCAGACCCGGTGAGGACAGAGCTTTTGGCGATAACTGAGCCGGGGACAGGGCACTGCGCCCCTGGTGCTGGGAAATACAGCGTCTCGTTGGCATGCCCGGGAGCTGATGTGCCTGGTGCCACGTATACGCAGGCGAGTCCCACTGCCCCTCCCTGTAGCCCAGTGCCCAATCCGCAGCCTGGCTCCCCCTGCCTGGAGCTGCGCCCGCCCCATCCCACAAGCCCGTTACCTTCTGGTGGCTCCAGGCCTTTGGGACCAGACGGCTGGAAGCCCCCCAGGGCCCACTCGATCATCTGCTTGTTCTGGATCTCCACCGCTTTGGAAGTGTCTGTCTCGTCGTTCTCGGGGCAGGCTGGGAAGATCTTCCCCGCTCTGCTGCTGGCCACCTGCACAGCGAGCCCCAGGGTCAGGCCAGTCGCCCACAGCCCAAGAGGGGCCTCCCCTGCCCCATGGCAGGGCTCTGCCCTGCTGTGAGTGCAGCCAGGACAGTGCCGCTGGCTCCGGGAGGCGCAGGGCCCCCGACACAGCCCACATCATTCAGGCCTGGGCTGAGCGCGGCAGTGCCCCTTAGCAAGCCACCGCCACTGCCCCGAGCGGGCTGCAGACACCCCGATGAGCAGCGCAGGAGGTGGCGTGGGGCAGAGGAAGCAGCTGCCCACGCAGATAACTGCAGGTCTAACTCCAGGACCCATAGCACTGCCTAGCTGAATGGATGGGACCGAGGCCAGGGAGCCCTTCCCTGCCAGGGAGTCTCTCTCCGGCCCCCATCGCCGAGCGTCTGAGCGCCTCGCCCTCCGTAATGCCCAGAGACCCTGCGGGACCGGCCCGTGGTCACACTCCTGCCAAGGCTCATGGGTGGATGGGCACAGGGACTGCAAGGGGCCCCCTCTCCGGCTGCTCTTACCTGCAGGACCTCGTAGATGGCTTTGCGGTACATCGGCTGCTTGTTGTACGTGGCCTGGTGGAAGGCGTTGGAGAAGGAGCTGAGTGGCAGAAGCTTCTCCACACAGACCTGTGGGAGGCAGAGATGGGGGCTGTGAGAGGAGGGCACCCCTCCGCCAGGGCAGGCCCGAGAACTGCCAGCCCGCAGCCCGGACGGCGCCTGGCGCTGCCACTTACCACGGAAAACTTGCCATCTCCGAACCACATGACCCAGCGAGTGCCCTCGGCTGCTCGGCTCCGCCCAGTCATCCACCAGGACACAATCCGGCCAGGCCACCAGGAGAATCCACGCAGCTTCCCCCACACCAGCTCGCCGATCCCGAAGCCTCGGCCATCCTGCCAGCCCGGGGAGCAGACGGAGCGTCAGAGAGTGGGCCCCCCCAGTCAGGAACAGAGCTGGGCCTGCCCGGGGAGGGGCAAAGCAGGGGGCTGGACACGGGGAAAGGGGAACAGTGGGGATGCGGGGGTCAGGCAAGTGGGGGGGACAGGAATGGGCAGGGAGGAGATACACACGTGTAGGCCAGTAGAGGGAGCTGGGGACAGGCGAGGTCAGGGGAGGAGTGCGGGGATGCAGAGCGGCCAGAAGGAAGGTGTATAAGGGAGGACGGGGGGAGGCAGAGGTGGGGGAAGAGAGGACGGGGAGGGGAGGCACAAAATAGTGGAAGGGGAGAGGTGTGCAGGGGAGGACGGGGGGAGGCAGAGGCTGGGGGAGGGGAGGTGTGCAGGGGAGGACGGGGGGGAGACAGAGGCTGGGGGAGGAGAGGTGAGCAGGAGAGGATGGGGGAGGGGAGGCACAAGATAGTGGAGGGGAAGAGGTATGGAGGGAAGGACAGAGAAGAGGCACAGGGTGGGGGAGGGGAGGCGTGCGGGGAGAGGCACAGTGTGGTGGAGAGGTGATGTGCAGGGAAGGATGGGGGAGAGAAGGATGGGGAGGGGAGGTGTGCAGAGAAGAATGGGGGATGGGAGAAGGAGGTGTGCAGGGGAGGACGGGGAAGAGGCACAGGGTGGAGGAGGGGAGGTGTGCAGGGTGGGGGAATGGTGGTGTGCAGAGAAGGATGGGGGAGGGGAGGAGCAGGGAAGGATGGGGGAGGGGAGGTGCAGAGTGGGGAAGGGGAGGCATGGAGGGGAAATGTGCAGGGTGAGGGAGAGGAGGATGGGGGAGGGGAGGAGCAGGGGGAGGGAGGAGTGCAGGGAAGGACGGGGGAGGGGAGGTACAGGGTGGGGGAGGGCAGGTGTGGAGGAGAAATGTGCAGGGTGAGGGAGGGGAGGTGCGCAGGGAAGGACGGGGGAGGGGCAGGGTGGGGGAGGGGAGGCGTGGAGGGGAAATGTGCAGGGTGGGGGAGGGGAGGAGCAGGGGGAGGGAGGGGTGCAGTGAAGGACGGGGGCGGGGAGGTGCAGGGTGTAGGAGGGGAGGCGTGCAGGGGAGAAGCCTGGGTGGCGACAGGGATCTGGGGTGGCTAAGGTCCCAGAGCGTGGCATGGGTGCTCTGGTGTGGCTGGGTTCCCAACAGACGGTGCGCCCCACATCTGCCCCCAGCAACGCTGGCCCGAAGGCCCCCTGGCCCCCGCTGCATGCGGCTGAGCTCACCTCGTACTCCGGCTCGTCATCAGCTGACTTGGACGTGCTCTTGTCCACGGCGTCGGCCACCACTGGCTCAGGCGTGGTGGCCACGTTGGGCGAGGCGGGGTCTGTGGGCTGCTGCGAGGCGGGCGGGCTGGCCTCCTCCTCCTTCTGGGGCTCTGCCCGTGGGCTCTCCTCCACCACGTTCATGACGGCAATGACTTTGGCCTTCTTCTCAGCCTGCAGAGAGAGCAGACGGGGAGTCAGGGCTGCCTGCTGCGTCCGGGGAGGAGGGACCCCCCAAAAGCCGGCAGTGGGCAGGGAAGGGGCCACCAAGTGCTAGATCCCCCTCAGGGACTGCTTGGCTCAACCAGCAATCAGGTGGGCCCTGTTGGGGCTGGCAGGGCCCGGGACCCCCAGTGCCCAGCAGCAATGAAGTTCCGTCCTGGACTCTCTCGCTGTGGGGCTCAGGCTGCAACGCTTGGCCTGGGGAGTGCCCATGGTGGGGCACTCTGTGTGGAGCCCTCTAGGGAATGGGGGACTCCCCTCTCCAAGGAGACAGCCAGGTCAGTCAGGCAGCTTATGATGGCCCCAGCAGGGGAATGTATGACTGGACGTGCCCCTTTCTGCCGTCAGAGGGGCTGTGCCCCTCTCCAGGGGATGCAGGGTCTAGACCCAGGCGGGTGGGGGAGAGCACCACGCCCCGTGCTGCCCGGTGTCCCGTGCTGCCCGGTGTCCCGTGCTGCCTGGCAGGGAATATCCCCAGCCTGCTACGGCTGGAGTGGAGGGGGACAGAGGGCTCAGGTGTGAGAGAGAGGGCAGGGCCCCGAAAGTCCTTCTCCTGGGAGGGGAGCCAGTTCCCAGGGCAGCGGGGAATGAGGGATGCCAGCGCTCCTCGGGTGATGCCCAGCCAAAGGGCCAGGGCCCCCCTCAGAGCAGCACTGCGTGAGCACAGCCACCGTCGCCTGTCGGGGTCAGGAACCCCCTGCCCCAGACTGCTCCATGCTGGTCCCCGGAGCGGGTGGCCCAGGCAGCGGGGGCAGTGCCAGGCCGAGGAGCCCGGGGACGGCTTTCCCCACCCCAAAGGAAGTGCCAGGCCCCTGGAGACACAGAATCACCGGCCTCCTTCCCCAAACACCATGCGAAGGGTGGCGCTGCACTGGCGGTGCTGACGGGGACCAGGAATGCTGTGCCAATGGTACTGAGGGGCACCCCGGGCCTGCCAGGACCTAGGTCCGCTCTCATCAGCCACTATGCAAAACAACTAGGACCCAAGCCTGTACCCAGCCCCCCCCCCCCCCACAGAGCCCTGCCCTGAGCAGTGACTGCCCCACTCCCCCCGTCCCCTCCCATGTGGTGTGGGGCGCAGCCTGGGAGAGGGCAGCACTGGGAGGATGGAGAGGAGCTCTGGGGGCTGCACTCCCCCCACAAACCAACCCTGCAATCAGGTGCGCAGGGAATAGCCGGGAGAGCTCTCAGCCCTGGGATCAGGGATTGGAGAGGGAGAGACCCCTGTCATCCGGAACAGCATCAGCATTTACCAAGGGCCTACCCCCCACCCTGGGACAAGCCCGCCTCAAACTCTCCCAGTCACCTCTGCTTTCTACCCCCCCCCGCCCCTCTCGCCCCAGCCGCACACCTGAGCACAATGGGGCTGCGTTCTCCACAACCCTGCAGAGTAACAGGGAGCCCACCAAGCCCTGGCTTCTCATGTTCCAGCCCTAGACACCGCCATCCTCACGGCACTTCCTGCCTCGCTAACCAGCCGCTGCTCAGACAGAACGAGGGAGGCACATGCAGGCTTCTAGGAACGGTGACTCCCACGCTCTGGCAGCTCGCCCGCCCCAAGCCAGCGAGTCCCTTCACCCAGGGCTGGGAGGTGAGCTCCAGGCCCTACAGGGCGGGCTCTCCGCGCCCGGCGCCTTAGAAAAGGCAGAGCTATGAACATGCGGGGCTCAAAGGTCCAGTGATCCGGGGGATGTGTAAGTGGATCGCAGGCCCTGGAGCCCTCCAGAGCAGGGTGGGGCAGGGCACTCTGCGAATCGCAGCCCAGCTGTCACCCAGAGCATGCCTGGTGCAGAGCATCCCCCTGCCAGCTGCAGTCATCGAACTTGGGATGAGGAATTAGACGCTTCGAAGAGCCGGAGCGCGGTGAGCGGCTGCTTCGGACCTTGCCCAGCCCCGAACCAGGCTGGAGGCAAAGGCTCTGGGCAGCATGGCTCACGTGTGGACTCCCTGGCGCAACAGCTCAGACGTGGGATTCTTTACTGCTGGGCTGGCTCATGGCCAGTAATGCTCACAGTCATGCAGTGTTTGCCAGGAGCTGGGAATGGGCGACAGGGGCTGGATCACTTGCTGATTCCCTGGTCTGTCACTCCCTCTGGGGCACCTGGCATTGGCCACTGTCAGAAGACAGGATACTGGGCTAGCTGGACCTTTGGTCTGACCCAGGATGGCCGTTCTTATGTTCTTATCTGGGCCAGGGAGCTGGCTAAGCAAACCTCAAGCTTATGGCCTGGGAGGGGAGGGGTCAGGGAGGAATCCTGGCCAGGTGCACTATGGGCCTTCCCCCAAACCTAAAGCTTCAGGTAGTAGATGGTGCTGGGACCGTGTGTACCTGAGAGGGAGGATGGCAGTGGAACAGCGAGGGGCTGGCCCATTCCGAGAGCCTAGCCAAGAGCCGGCAAAGCTGGGCGGCCCCTGCAGGCTCACAGGCCTACGGGCCGTGCAGACCCCGTTCCACGCGGCTGCACAAAGCCGGGGAGCCTGGCGTGGATACGGTGGGAGGGCGATCTGCCCAGCAATGGCAGGCGCGTGGCTGGGATCCCACCCCCAGGAACTGGTGCTGCCCCACTCCTATCAGCAGGGGGCCCCAACGGAGCTGAGAGGGGACACCCCCAGCTGCCCCCTCCGGTGAATTTTGTCCCTGGCCGGCAGCGCGGGGGATGCGAAGGAGCTGGCTCCGCGGCTGCGTTCCCTGTAAGCTGCACGGCTGGGAGAGGTTCCAGTGCCGTGCAGTTGATTAGCAGAGCCACGCACATCCAGCCGGCAGCATGTGGTCAGGGGCCTCCCTCCCACACTGCTTTGCAGCCACGTTGCTCCTGGGACCCTCCTGCTGGCTGTGCAGAGTGGGGCAGGGGGAGAAAGGAGGGTGCTGATGTCAGGATGTCCCCGTCTTCCTCCCCAGCCCCCTGTACCCCAGCTGCACAGAGCAGGTAGAAGGGACAGGGTGTCAACCCGTAACACCCAGGGAAACTGAGTCTCACCCCCTCCGCATGCAAAGCATTGAAACTCCACAGAAAACAAGAAAACCCCCCACTTCGTCACACAGGGCTCAGGACTCGCAGCAGCTCTGAGGTCTGAACAAGCCTTCGGGTGAGTGAGTGCCTTAAAGAGACAGCGCCCGGTCTCTCAGAGACTTCCCCGGCAGCCCCCCCCTCCCCTCAAGTTGTTACTTCTTGGTACTTCCTGCAATGCACATATATTCTCTGTGATTTTATTCTTTCAAGTGTGCTATTCTGGTCTCTGCATTTCATCATTTTTACTTCTCTCTTACACTTAAATTAATTCTTTGAGCAGTGAATTCTACAATGCCGACCCTGTCCTGGCTGGAGTAATTTTAATCAAATCTGTCTGATATCTAGGTGTTTTGTTCTACTGGTGGGGCACATCCGCACATACCTCGGGGAACAGAACAACATTTATTCTGCACATGGATGGAAAAACGTAGCGGGAACGTTTCTCCCCGGTGCCGGAGAGGAGGGGTGGGGGTGGCCGGGGGAACGGTGTTGCCACACTACCAGGCCTTTCTTACTGCACAGCCAGCCAGTCAAACTCTGCCGCCGGAGGCGGTGTGGGGCCAGGCCGGGCCAGCACAGCCCAGGCATTGGGCTGAAGCGAAGAGCCCAGCCCGGCAGCCAGGGAGCTACTGGAGCAGGGGGCGTGGAAGCACAGAAAAGCACCAATCCTGCCCCACAATTCAACTTTGTGGCCCAGGATCAGATCTGGCAAGGCCCATCCCCCCTGCACCGACTCCAGCCCCTAAACCGTTGCCAGGGTCACCTCCCCCCCCAGCCTCACAATTCCACTCCACACCCCCAGCTTCCTAACACCAACCCCACCTCCTGGCCCCCCCTTGGCCTCCAGGCCAGCCCCTGCCTCTAATCACACCCTGTCCACTGCTCTTGTTACAGCCCCCATCCCACTGCTCACCCAAGTCCCACACCCACAGCGCATGGCCCCAACCCTGCAGACACACAGTTCTGGTCCCCACTTCTCCCCTTCTGCCTCCTCAACCATACCTCCGCTTGCCTGTCCCAGGACCCACCTCCCTCTGGCTCATTTCCATCGCTAGCTCCACTCACCCCACAAGCTCCCTGCGGGTATGAGGAACAGTTATCTGAACGGCGTAGGCTGGGTGCAGCTGCCAGATTTCCAGCCCCCCGTTCTCTGGCGACAGTGGAGGGATTTTGACCGTGTAACACCGTCAAAGTTGGGAGGGTGCCAAGCCAGCGAAGCCTGGCGTAATGGTTTGGTAAAACCCCTGCACCGAGCAGGTGTGGCTTGGACATGGCAAGGGGAGGCTGGTGAGAACGGAAGGCCAGCTGACCTACACCGCGCCCTATGTTTCAGTCGGCAATGCATGCGGCCCCCTAGGATTCCTGTTACACCCCATCTCCCAGCTTCATTGCTGTGATTGACGTTAGTGGGAGCAGGCCGTGGCAACAGAAACGGAGACCAGCAGCAAGGCGAGGCCTTTTCCCTCAGGTAAGAAACGGGTGAATGACCAACGAGCGTGGAAAATTCCCTCCATTAACAGCTTCTCAGTCAACAACCCAAGTAAATATTGCGTCTAGTTCTGTCGCTTCTCCGCAGGCTGCTCCCGCTCGCTCGCCGGCTGACACCATTCAGGGTAAGCTCAGGAAATGGTTGACAAGTTTTTTAGACTTCCCACCCCGAGCTTGAAAACCCCAAGCGGTGCCCCGCCTACCAGTACACCTCCTCAGGAACAGCCCACTCACATCCCCCTTGTATCATCCCCATGGCAACAGCCTACCCCCATCAGCCCCCAGCCACAGCCTACTCACCCCACTCGATTATTTCCATGGCAACAACCTACCCCCCCCCATCAGCCCTTGGCAACATCCTACTCACCCCCCCGCCCACTATCAGTGCCACACACCCCCTCAGCCTCACTGTGGCAAGTCTCTTCCCTCCTCTGTGCCGCCCCGGCCAAGGGG